AAAGCCAAAGGTTGATGGTCGAAGTACTTAAATTAAATACCTGATATTGAATGTTAATTGTGCTCATAGCCTAATACTCCTATTAGAGCATCCACAGTGGGATGGTTAAAAAAATGTGTTGAGATGTGTGTTATATGACAAAAAATAATAAAAGTGAGGCCCACAAATGCGTGTTAAGATGTGTTAAGAGCTTATTAATTTTAAAGAGTAAGAGGTGGTGCAATTGATGTGTTAAGGTGTGCGTTAAGAATATATGTGTATATATAATAAATAAAATAAATAAATAATTTAATTTAATCAAAAATTTCAAATCCAAAATTAAATTTCAAGTCTAAAAAAAAAATCTCAACAAGTTAAAAAAAAAAAAATCAAACGTCCGGGAAGACTTCGAGCCGGACGTTTAGCAGGACTTCCCCAGGCACACAACTCTCTCTCTTTCCCACGTCCCTCCTCTCTCCCTTGCTTGCACTGTGAACCCAAAAGTTACTATGTCTCCCCTAAATTTTAGCCACTGAAACTAACACACTCACTAACACGTCAATTATGAATGCTCTTAGCTCTAGAACTTTTTAATAACACACAACACTCCCTTAAGACCCAATTACTACATAGGTAAGTACTTTGCCAAATTAATGTTGAATTGTTTCTGAATACTGTGTAGTTTAGAATAATTAATCATACATATTATATAATTTTATTTCTTACCACATTGTCTCACTCATGTTTGAACATAAAGCATTGGGACCTACATTCATTAATACATATGAAATCTACTCACATGTGTCTTAAATAAGAAAATGAGATAAGAAATAACATTATATGTAGAATTTTTTTATGTATTGTTTCTTAGAATAAAGCTTCGGACCCCAGTGGGGTGCTGGTAGTCCCTTCCCATTGGTCCAAAAAATAGTTTTTTTTTATTTTATTTTCAGCCAATCCCAGGCCGACACGTGGCACTAGGGGGGGTCACTGGGAGTCTATAGCATTGCTATATTTCTTATCTAATGTGTCTTTTTGTTTCAAAAATCACATAAATTTTATATCATATTTTATTTATTATTTAATAAATTAATAATAAATTATGAGTAAAGAAAGTTACTATATCTCTACGATAACGTTAACTTATAAGACAATAAACAAATTAATTTTTTTTTTTTTAAATGATCATACATTACCCCAGAAAATCAAATGAAAAAGTAAACAAGCCAGTGACACTGGATCCGTGATTGATTGTGAGAGTAGTAAAATATTTATAGATAATGAGTTGGTATTCATTTTCAAATTCATTGTTTTATCCGTTCAACCAACCAAAAAAAAAAAAATCATTGTTTTACATTAGTCTATCCTTTTAATTGCACCGACCCATTATCCACTTCCAGACTTTATCTATTCGAGGAGGAAACTCACAGCCGTCAGATCTGATCACCGCCACACCCACTCTCACACGCGTACAGTCCGATTTGATTCGGATATCAGATAACAAACCTAACATTTTTCCGTAGGACCCACTGTCCCCATTCCGTTGGGAGAACATTCCACACACCACCAAAACGACGCCGTCGTCTCTCATCAAACATAAAAAAAACAGTTGATTCAACAACGTCGTTTAGTACAAATAACCCCTGTCCAGATCATGAATCTTTCACAACAAGAGCTTCCTGGAAGATTCATCCACCAACGCCTATAAATAAGCAATGCCCCCCATTGAAGAAAAACCCACAAACTCACCAAAGCATCCCCACATTTCTTCTTCATTTTCTCAAAAACACTTCCCAACTTCCTTTCTCTCTCTACAGACCTCTCTTTCTTTCTCTAAAACTTGTTGTGAAAACTCAAATGGCTCCTGAACTTGTGAGTGCAACCACCAAGGCTACCAGCCTGGTCAAGGCAGCCAGCCTGACGAGCCGGGCTTATGTGACATTCTTGGCAGGGAATGGTGACTACGTGAAGGGCGTGGTTGGGCTGGCCAAGGGCCTAAGGAAAGTCAAGACTGCGTACCCGCTAGTGGTGGCGGTCCTGCCTGACGTGCCGGAGGACCACCGCCGTATGCTGCTAGCTCAGGGCTGCATAGTCCGTGAGATCGAGCCGGTGTACCCACCGGCGAACCAGACCCAGTTTGCTATGGCCTACTATGTCATCAACTACTCCAAGCTTCGTATCTGGGAGGTATGTGTCTAATGATAACAAAATTTAGGAAAAAAAAATTACATGATAAGTTCTTAATTTCCTTGTTATTCATATTAATTATCTTTCTGGCTGAAATAAGGCATATTGACTTGTAATCAATTGCAGTTTGTGGAGTACCATAAGATGATATATTTGGACGGAGACATCCAGGTGTTTGAAAATATAGACCACCTCTTTGACAACCCAAATGGCTACTTCTATGCTGTGAAGGATTGTTTCTGCGAGAAGACATGGTCTCATACCCCACAGTACCAGATTGGGTACTGCCAACAGTGCCCTGATAAGGTCCAGTGGCCTAGAGAGTTGGGTCCTAAGCCTCCCCTCTACTTCAATGCTGGCATGTTTGTGTTCGAGCCTAGTCTCCCAATTTATGATGACCTCTTAGAGACCCTCAAAATCACTCCGCCTACCCCTTTTGCTGAGCAGGTAATAATCAAAATTTGTCACTCCAACACCTTTTAAATAACAGTATCAATATCAACAATTTGTTATATATCACCCAATATTAGATAGTATCTACCGATGTATCAGTTAATATTGATATTGAAAGTTAAAAATCCTAATATGCATTAGTCGATCTATCAAAATAGACAAAATCTTTAGTCTTTAAAATTCATGTTATTTTATTTTCAATGAATTTTCATTCACATGATGTGGCAAGAATATCAAAATAAGAAAATTTCAAGAAAATGGTATGCAGTCAAAATTATATTTGAGATAGGGGCATGAATTTTGGTATAGAGAATCTGTATCCTATAAATGTAGATATTATTTTGGCAATAATTTGATATAAACTTAAACAATTGTGCTTGCAGGACTTTTTGAATATGTTCTTTAAGGATGTCTACAAGCCTATCCCACCAATTTACAACCTTGTTTTGGCCATGCTTTGGCGTCACCCAGAAAACATTGAACTTAATAAAGTGAAAGTTGTTCACTACTGTGCCGCGGTGAGTGTTCATGATCAATGATCAAATCTTTTCTTCTTTTTCTCAAATTATTTTAAATAAATGAAATCAATATTCTAAATTAATTAATTTGTCATTTGGCTTCTTTCTTTATTTCTTTCTTTGCAGGGATCAAAGCCATGGAGGTATACTGGAATTGAAGAGAACATGAAAAGGAAAGACATTAAGATGCTAGTGAAGAGCTGGTGGGATATATACAGTGATGAGTCATTAGATTATAAGAAGACTAACACATCGCCCATTGAAGGTGAAGCTGACAAATTCATGGCGGCAACGGTGTCAGAGGCTAACGCTGGTCATTACATTACCGCCCCATCTGCTGCCTAGCTTTTTTTTTGGCAAGCTAAGGACAGTAATAATATTAATGCCTAAACATATTTTTTTGGTTTTTGGTTATGTATAGGCTTTTCAAAGTTAAGAAGGTGGCCTTTTATTTTTGAAGTTGGCCTACCTTTTAGTGGAAGATTGTTGCAATTAGGAAAGATAGAGATTGCTTTTGATTTCTGATTAACTTGTATTCGTTGGGTATGTCAATATTTGAGAATTTATGATTGTACTAATATATTTCATAGTTTACAAGTGTTGAATCCACTTTCTATTACTTTTATACTATATCTAGTGAAAACACTGGTGCTCTGCTTCTCATCCTCTTCAGATTTTGCCTACACCTACGTTAATGACAAATTTAACCATATTCATATCAGATTGTCCTGGTTAATTTGGATGTTTGTTTACGGATTGAGCCAGTAATTGCCATATAAGTCCTAGAACACAATCAATCAAACATCAGATCCTCTATCGATCTTTCCGGACATGAGCCTCTTTAATCGTTTAATAGAAAGAACATTGAGATAGGAGGATAAAAGATTGGGAGAGGAGATGCAAGAGAAGAGCCTTGAGACAGGAGGAAAGAAAACATCAGGATGTTCTCTCTCACCTAACTTATATTTAACTTATATTTCATTCACATTTCTCTCATTTTTTCTTTTCTCCTTCCAAATCTCTACCTAAATTTATAACCCAAACACAACATTAGTGATTGGATCAATCAGATTTGGACTATCATATCAAATTTCTCTTAATGAATTCAGATTTTTTAGATTAAATTTGGATTATATTAAGATAAAGTCAGATCCTTTAATAGACCTGATCTGAGCGCAAGGAATCACCCAGTGATTGAGATTTTATATACATGTCGATCTATTTCTTTTTCCATGTATGCTATAATGTACTTTGTTAATTTAATTATAAGTGAGTGATTTCCTTAATCTATATAGTATATAATTTCTCAGACTATGGTACTGCACACAAATACATAATATCGGGTGAATTATAACATTTTGTTACCTAGGATATTCAATTCTCACTATTACCAAAAGAAAAAAGAAAAAGACTAACGAGCAAATTGAACTATCACAGAAACAACTTGTCCAAAAATAAAGGAGAAATTCCATATATCTTGCTCTTTCCAAACCCTATTTTGGCGAAAATAAAATTGTATATTAAGTTGCACTATATATATATATATTTTTTTTGATAAATACTAAGTCGCGCTATATATGCAAAGTGTACTATCATCAATGTGCCAAAATGTACTAAATGTCATCTACTATTGAGTTAATTAATATGCCAATATGTGTATAGAGAGGTGATGTGACTTAAATAAGATGATGTGACTTAAATAAGATAGTGACTTTTTGACTTTTTGTCTTTTTTCAAGCATGCCAAACTTGGCCTAAGTCGCGCTATATATGCAAAGTGTACTATCATCAATGTGCCAAAATGTACTAAAATGTCATCTACTATTGAGTTAATTAATATGCCAATATGTGTATAACCATTAATGTGATTCTTCAACGTTTATAATATTCTCTTGATGAATCTAGCTGTAACTAAAATGACACAGTTGGGTAATCACATAAATTCTACAACTCAATAACAATGATACATCCCCCCATATATGTACTTCTCTCTCTCCTTCACTCCCTCCTCACTTCCAACCCTTTTTGGAAGAGAGAACAAAAATGGCTTCTTTCTTTTCTTGTTCCCTACTATCTCCATTGCTAGTCATCACTCTCTTCATCCAGCCCGCTTCCAGTGACCCCCGAACCCAACAACTGATTGATCAGATTTGTCGCCAATGTGAGGATTTCGGATTTTGCAACACAACTTTCAACGAAAACCTAAAGGCCCCAACAACAAATGTCGAGGGCCTAGCACAGATCACAATTGAGCAATCCCTGTATAACGCAACCAACACATACATATTTGTGAAGAGACTCCTAGCAGACACAGACACAACCGATGTACGGATGAGGGACTATCTTACTGTTTGTGACAACAGTTACTATGCAGTGATGGAATTGTTCAGGGAGGCGTTCCGGTCGTTCGATCAGAAAGATTACAGGGGTATGATGTTTTATGAATGGAAAACGTCAAGAGAAGTGGCCATATGTGATGGTATTTTTGTTACGGAGTTTTTATGGGTGAACCCGTTGGGTGACCAGAACAAGCAGATGAGGCAGCTCATTACAATGGCTCTTGTAACTGGTTTTATGCTTGTTAGTTGATGAGTATTGTTCAATCATTTCGTACTCTCTCTCTCTCTCTCTCTCTCGCTCTCTCTCAATTAGTTAAACTATGATTATTAGACTCCTTGGCGTAAGATAAATTTCTAGCACTTATTGTTGTCCCGATTTCCCTAAATCTGTCAAGGTTTCAAGTATTTTGTTGTCACTGTTATATACATTCATCTTTGTGTATGATCCACATATACTATCAACAAAATGACACAACATTTGTTCTTCTTTCCTTGTGAGGATTCTACAATGCAAATATAAAAAAGAAAAATTAAAAAAGAAAAAAGAACAGCACTTAATTTTGTGTAAAGCAAGACTGCAAGTGCAAATGCTTTGACTGCCTGCTGTTGTTAGGTTGTATAACTGAAATGCAAACTAGTAGCGTTTACTAAAAGGTAGTAATTTACTTTCCCAAAAAACAACAAATAAAAGGTAGTAATTAGCTCAACTGATGAAATCTGCTGCTAATTGCACCCAAGACCTGAACTAAAATCGTACTTTTCGAAGATTAATTATGTTTTTTCTCTGCACCCAAGACCTGAACTAAAATCGTACTTTTCGAAGATTAATTATGTTTTTTCTCTGCACCAAAACACATAATCCTATGAGATTGAAAAATGCATGTTACTTAATCCCATGTGGTTCAGATTAAAGTGCAAAACTGATGGAATTCGTTAAGATAACAGTGTGTGCATTACTCAATCCCGGTTAAGTGGTGCCAGCCACAACCAAGGCACGTCAAACTTGATATTGATGGCAGCAAAATGGGCAGCCCGGGCATGGCCATTGCAAAAGGGATATTCAGGGACTGTGGAGCCAGGGAAATGGTTTCTTGGTTTTGGAAGAAATCTTGTGAGTTACTGCTAGTACAGTATTTGTTGACTTGTTCGGTTGAGCAAGAAATGTTTCGAGCAATAAAAGATTTGTCATAAAAAAAACAGAGAAGATCTAGAAGTTTTGAGAGTTCAAGCAAGGAACAGTATGGGAATGGGAAGCAAGCTGGGAACAAGAAATATACAATTGATTAGGTTGATAAAACTAAAAAGTTTTTCTTTTGTACATTAGAGGGGGGCGGGGAGCTACACGGGGTCTGAACACTAGGATAACCCTAATGGTTCGATAAAACTAAAATGTTTAATGATGCACCTGTAGGGAACTGGAGAGTGTGGTCAAAAGTCACCTTATTGTGAGCCTTCCAAATGGTCCAAATACATGAGATATTAAGCATGATGGTTGAATATCAATCTTCCCCAAAGATCCCCTAGTAAACCAATCCCCCAACCAGCTTTTGAAAGAAAATTGCTCTGAGAAGGACATTTTGAACACACCACAGGTTCGACAAAGTCAGAAAGAAGAAAAACGTGATCCACTCTATCAAGTCTGAGAACAAAAAGGGCAAAGAGTATCTACACCACCATTTGACAAGCTTGGAGCCATAGAAAAGCTTATCCTGACAAGCCTGCTATAGAAACACCAAAACTATAAAAGGCACAGGAAGATTCAACTACCTGGATGACTGGGAATTGATAGGGAAAAGTGTGGGTGAAGAAGAGGTAAGATCACAATAAATAAGACCAGAAATCCAGGCTCTAAGCTGAGCAGGCGTGAAATCTTCAAAACCAAATACCGAACCGATTTCTACGGAAAAAAATTCCAACACAAACCAACTATTTAACTGTGTAGAAAACAGACCAAAAACCCGTCAGTGTATGCGGTTTTTATTTCACCCCTAAAGCTGAGAGAGTAATGGTGATCAAGAAGAAGAGTGTAAGCAGAGTGAATTCTCCCGAGGCACAATGAGACAATCAGAAAATCCAAACTGCAAGGTAGAGAGCAGATACAATTAGCTACAGGAAAACGAAAACGAAAACGAAAACGAAAAAGAGAACAAACCAGGGAGCGATTCCATTGTCTTTCTGGGAAAGAAACAGATCCATAACAATGGTTGGGGGTGATAAAGCAAAGGGTGGACTCAGAAGGGACTAAGGAGAAAGTAATTCATGGAGACAGGTTAGAAATCCAATAGTCTTCCAAAATTGAAATATGGGAACTAGAACTTGCCTGAATCATTAAACTCAATTTCAAAACTCCCTAAAAAGAGAACTACACCAAGAGCTAGAAAGAAGAGATTGACAGAAAGAAAGGGAAGAAATGGAGAACTCAAGCATATTTGGTTATAAAAGAATAGTGAAAATAAAGAATCGGGACAAATGAATAGAAGGCAACCTGTTTGGCCAAAAGAGATGGATTAAAACAGGAAATGTCCTGAAAACCCAACCTCCATTGGATTTAGGCAAACAAAGATTCCTCCAACTCAACCAATGATAAGATTTCCCTTTCTGATCCCCAAACCACAAAAAATTAGCAAAATTGGACGAATTTGTCGCAAATATACTGATATATAGAAAGATAGTGACTAAGGGCTCATTTGAGAATTGACTTTTTTAGTATTTTTTTTGGCTTCTTACGAAACAACGTGTAAAAAATAGATAGAATGGGTTGACTTTTTGTATTGGCTTTTGGCTATTTTAGCCAATTGCCAAACATGGCCTAAGTAAGGAGAAAAGAATTGAGTTAAATGTATGAAGTATGAATTTTTGGGTAGAAAGATGAAGAGTAAAAAGAGAACAAAGGAAATAAGATGGAGGAGAACAATAAATACTGTTATTTTTTGAATCATTGTCAGATTCTTCAATGATAAGAGTCGATAACATATAACAGAAGTTACTTCTTTCTATTTAATTTCTTTCCCCCTCAGTGACAAAATCATAAAAATCTCCGTCTACATACTTCAGCTATATATCATAACATATGGACCCAATCCAAACAAAGTAGAATACATCAAACTGAACCGGTTAGAACAAACTAGAAGTTGAGATAGTTTCCTTAGGATGAACAAAAACAGACATATGAAACTTTAGTCCAATAAAGGCTTCAAGGTAAGTGTCATCGCCCCAACAAGGCGACACGATCCTTCTGAACTGCCTGTCCCAGGTTTATATCAAAGAGCTCACATCGGATTGGCATCTCCATTTCATAAAAGGGGTTCTTTAAAACATAATCTGTGTACAGTTCATAGATATGTTTCAAGAGGCCATCCATATGTTGTGTTCCTGGCTCACAGACGACAAAAAATTTTGTCCCTGCAAGAGAACAATAAAAAATTTAGCTAGAGTGTGTTTGGATGAAGAATTTATAACTACTGAGGAATTTCAAAATGGAGGGGTTATGATGGAATCGAATAAATTCTTCTAACACAGCCAATTGGATATGAGAAAATTAATTGGCTATGAAGTATAGATTTTTACTCATGGGACAGATTGGGTATACATGAGAAATCAGTAAATTAGGAACTTAGGAGGTATATTGTGACACCTATTTGGAACTTGTATTGGAATTAATATGATCAACAAGACTCAGTAGACATTAACTATGTGCCTAGTAACTTGCTACATTTGATGTTGGATATGTCTAGTGAATATATAAGAGTGCATTAGATGACAGCTATGGTTGTAATGTCTTATAAACATGAATGAAATCTGGAAAAGGAGACCTGTTTTGGCTATAATATTGAAAAAATACACTATTGCTTGGAGATCTCTCCTTTACAGTCTTTTCAGCCTCAGTTTCTGATTACAGTGATTGATGATTCAATCCCAGAAGTTCTTTTTGCAGTTTTTTTTTTTTTTTTCAACATCAGTTGGTATTAAAGCAGGATTCATTCTGTGGCACCTAAAAATAAAATGTTGCAAATGAGTGAAAGACTGAGGAAAAATCATTGGTCAAAGAACTTTTAAGATCATGTGAATCAAGTTCTTAACAAGAGGTATTCACGCTCTTGAATTCTTTTCTTCTGTGCCCCCAAGTAGAGTGGAAAGCATCTCCAATATAGATAAGTCTATGTTACCTGAAACGTGAATCATTTTGATACGTGGAACGGGAACAGGAATGTGGTACGCCACATGTTCTAAAATGTGGTACGATAAGAATAGACTTGTATATATTACACTTAAAAAAGTAAAGTACTTCTAGAGTAATTTTCTTATAGCAATTAAGCATCCGATAATTTTATTTTTATTTTTTTTCCATTTTTGTTTTGTCTTATCAAAACTTAACTTCTTTTAGATTTTAATTCATTATATTTGATTTTTTTTTTTCCTCTTAAGGTAACACTTAAGAAAATATATTGCAAAAAAAAACTTTTGGAATCACTTCATATCACTAATTTTACCGTTTTAGAACAGAAATGTACCATGTTTCTGAACGTACGTACCAATATGTAATTTACTAGGATAATAGTGTTGTCTACGAACACAAAGATGAGCATACCAAAGATGGATATTTAATCATCTATGAGAATCACAATTCTATATCTACGTTTTTTCACTACATCAATTGGATTTTCTTTTTCTTTTTTTGGTGATGATAATACCCATAATACCACACCAACAATGGTAGCAGCATTCAAAGTAACACGAAGGTAGCATGGTAATGGATTGGGCAGTAGTGTAGTGATGTGGAACTTTCAATGGTGGTGTCGGTACCAATGCTCTTAACAACAACAATGATGATGACACGTGGCATAAGTAATGGTATTGTCCCGGTAGAAGTGTGACAGGTATGATCATGGCCAAACGAAGATAGCAATGGAAACTTTGGTGGTCATATCAATGGCTCCAATAGTTGTGTTTCTACTATAGTTAACAATCCTTTTCTTCACGGTCATTTGATTTTAGGACTATGACTTTGAAATAACACCTACTTTCAAAGAACTTCAAATGTGTGATTCAGAACTTTAAAGTCCCCCTAATAATTCTAAGAATCCTCAAATCTTTAACCTCAAAAGGGATTTTAAAACTGAGGATTCTCAAATTCTATTACAGCATTAACAAGCTTCAAACTGCACTAAGAAATCACAATGTTGGACTTGCAACCAACAAAGCAAACCACGGCTTCAACAATTCATTATTTTTTTTAATCTTTTTCTCTATTCTTGGAATTTCTTGAAAAACAAACAGAAGACTAAGGTACATCGAAAAGACATGATTTCTAAATAAAACTTCAAATTTCATAGTTAAAACGAAATCAAAGAAAATGCCATGAGATTTACCAGTAAGAGATTGGAAGCAATGGAGATCGAAATTGTCAGCTTCGAGAAGCTCGATCCCTGAACATCCCATGATAGGCGATAGCTGTTGAGAGATAGCGTGCATTGAATGCCATAAACTCGCCAATCTCAAGCTATCATTCGTATCCATTCGTCCCGCAGAGCCGTAATCCTATCATTTTTCACGAATTCATAAAAACTAACGAAACTGAAATTGGTGTTCCTGTTTGTTTATATAGAAAATTATGACAAGAAAATACAAATGAGAGAGAGAGAGAGAGAGAGAGAGAGAGAGAGAGATTTGAGTTTGACCTTATAGAAGATGAGGCCTCCTGATTTGTTGATGATGTAGAAGCTGTAAACAGCTGCCATTTTTTGAATGGAGCTCAAGCCCTAGACACAGACAGGGTTGAATTGGGGATGGTGATTATAGCGAACAAAAATGCTTTAAACCACTAAGTGGGGTGATGTGACAGTGACCCACTATCACATGTATTTTGTATCTTATTTTTTATTTATTTATTTATTTTTTAATGATAATAAATTAGTGTTCTATAACCTTATCCTTATACCAAATGTTTGAGGCTATGGCTGGAGAAGGACGACAAAAGAAAAGAATATGTGCCGCTGTAAAAAACTAAAAAATATATTATGTGAAATTCACTAAGGCCTCGTTTGGCAACAGGTTAATTTAGTAATTTTTTGGCTATTTAGTTAAAAAGGTAGGTAAAAAAAATTTGTATGTTTGAGATGACTTTTTGGCTAATTACGAAAAGATGTGCAAAAAGTAGAGAGAAAAGAGAATCTTTGACTTTTTGGTATGGGTTGTTGACTTTTTGGCTAATTTAGTAACTTTTTAACTAATTGACTAAAATAGTCTTTTGCCAAACGAGGCCTAAATATTAAAAAATAAATTAAGAAAACTAAACCAAATATAATATAAAATATGATATAGATAATTATATAAAAGTAATTTAAGAATAACAAAAAAATATGAGAAATTAATATTTTAAGAAGTAGATTAGAAGCCAATTTTTTTGATTTTTTTAAAAAAATATGTACAAAAATATAGAACTGATGTGATTAAAAAAAATCAATAAATTAAAAGCTACTTTTAACTTGATTATCAAAATAGGCCAAAGTGTACATAACAATGTGTTGTACATTTTATATAATAATAATAGTTAAATAGTGTGCATATTGGATAGGTAAGTTATGAAAAATTAACCACTTTCACTTAAATGTAAATAATAGAGGAGTTTTATCCATCAACAATATATATATATATACTAGTGAAAAAAACCCACGCAAGGTACATGTTAGTATGACATTTAATTCTAATGTTTTGTTGAGTTTACTAGATAAAATGGAATAACATAACATTTTTTTGAAAATATTTATTTTATATTTGATTCATTCAAAAAATAATAAAAAATACATTGTAAAATTATTTCATAAGAGAATAAAAAAATAATCATTTCATTCCACTACTTGAACTTTTTTTTCCAAAAATAAGATTAGTTTTTTACAAAATAAAATAGAATCTATAATTATATATATGATAGAAGTTTTAATTTTTATTATGAAGTACAATTATGGAATAAATAGATGAAATGAAATTTTAGTTCAAATGAGTAGATTTTTTTTTTTAATTTATTAGGATGAAATAATCGAATTGTGATATTATATGTCAATGATCATATGGTATCATCGTTACACTTTGATTTCATTTCATTTGTAAACAATTATTTTTAGACCCATGCAAGGCAAAGGCTATTCTTATGATAAATTTATATTTTCAAAATACAAATCTTATAACAAATTATTTTTTTTGGTTTGATTTTTCAAAAATTATTTTTAGACGAATTTTCATTTGTTTTAATAAATTTTTTCATATTTTATTCAAATCATTTTTTTTACAATTTTTTTTTCCGTTTATTTTGTTAAATTAAAAATTATAATAAGGAATGGTTGTAATTTCTAGTATTGTAGAGACATTTCATATTTTAAACAAACCTTAGGGGTGTATTTATAATTTATCCAAAATCAAAATATTTATGTGTCGTAACTGATCAAGAATCTTTGCATTATTACGAAAAACCCTTTACTCAAATTAGTACCGTTAATATTGGCAAATATTACCTAAGAAAAGGGTAAAATGGGAAAGTCAAATTATAGGTTACCATTAGTGAAGGGAGCTTCTATTTGCATACATCCCTTTCCCTCTTTCCACATCTTTCTCAATACACACACTACATAAATTTAAATTATCAACTTACACTCAATACACATCATGCCATACTGTTGGCTACATACTTTGTAAAAGACCAGTTACAGTTCGACGCGTGGCAGAGTAAGGGTAATATAGGAAGACTGTTCAAGGCTTCAACAGTTACTCACATTCAAATTCAAATATAGGAGGGAAGCTTAACTGCAAGTGATGGCGTAGTGGAACTACTTATAAGGCAGCATGATCAGTGATCACGGAGGAGCAGTTCGACAGTTTGAAGTACAGTTCGATGGTCATCTTTGAGGAATATAAATAGCAGGGAAGACCCTAGAAAAACGCCTAGACTCAGATCCAACAAACTAGTCTTACTTTTCATATTTCTTTCCAGTTTTTATATTTCTTGTTCTTTACATTCATGTACTTTAAATTCCTGCACTGCACTTCATTCATAGGAGTAGTTTCAAATAGATTGTCGCTGTAAACCTCTACGAGGCTGGATTTAAGCAAACCACGGCTTCAACAATTCATTATTTTTTTTAATCTTTTTCTCTATTCTTGGAATTTCTTGAAAAACAAACAGAAGACTAAGGTACATCGAAAAGACATGATTTCTAAATAAAACTTCAAATTTCATAGTTAAAACGAAATCAAAGAAAATGCCATGAGATTTACCAGTAAGAGATTGGAAGCAATGGAGATCGAAATTGTCAGCTTCGAGAAGCTCGATCCCTGAACATCCCATGATAGGCGATAGCTGTTGAGAGATAGCGTGCATTGAATGCCATAAACTCGCCAATCTCAAGCTATCATTCGTATCCATTCGTCCCGCAGAGCCGTAATCCTATCATTTTTCACGAATTCATAAAAACTAACGAAACTGAAATTGGTGTTCCTGTTTGTTTATATAGAAAATTATGACAAGAAAATACAAATGAGAGACAGAGAGAGAGAGAGAGAGAGAGATTTGAGTTTGACCTTATAGAAGATGAGGCCTCCTGATTTGTTGATGATGTAGAAGCTGTAAACAGCTGCCATTTTTTGAATGGAGCTCAAGCCCTAGACACAGACAGGGTTGAATTGGGGATGGTGCTTATACCAAATGTTTAAGGCTATGGCTGGAGAAGGACGACAAAAGAAAAGAATATGTGCCGCTGTAAAAAACTAAAAAATATATTATGTGAAATTCACTAAATATTAAAAAATAAATTAAGAAAATTAAACCAAATATAATATAAAATATGATATAGATAATTATATAGAAGTAATTTAAGAATAACAAAAAAATATGAGAAATTAATATTTTAAGAAGTAGATTAGAAGCCAATTTTTTTGATTTTTTTTAAAAAATATGTACAAAAATATAGAACTGATGTGATTAAAAAAATCAATAAATTAAAAGCTACTTTTAACTTGATTATCAAAATAGGCCAAAGTGTACATAACAATGTGTTGTACATTTTATATAATAATAATAGTTAAATAGTGTGCATATTGGATAGGTAAGTTATGAAAAATTAACCACTTTCACTTAAATGTAAATAATAGAGGAGTTTTATCCATCAACAATATATATATATATATACTAGTGAAAAAAACCCACGCAAGGTACATGTTAGTATGACATTTAATTCTAATGTTTTGTTGAGTTTACTAGATAAAATGGAATAACATAACATTTTTTTGAAAATATTTATTTTATATTTGATTCATTCAAAAAATAATAAAAAAATACATTGTAAAATTATTTCATAAGAGAATAAAAAAATAATCATTTCATTCCACTACTTGAACTTTTTTTTCCAAAAATAAGATTAGTTTTTTACAAAATAAAATAGAATCTATAATTATATATATGATAGAAGTTTTAATTTTTATTATGAAGTACAATTATGGAATAAATAGATGAAATGAAATTTTAGTTCAAATGAGTAGATTTTTTTTTTTAATTTATTAGGATGAAATAATCGAATTGTGATATTATAATCTACGTTTTTTCACTACATCAATTGGATTTTCTTTTTCTTTTTTTGGTGATGATAATACCCATAATACCACACCAACAATGGTAGCAGCATTCAAAGTAACACGGAGGTAGCATGGTAATGGATTGGGCAGTAGTGTAGTGATGTGGAACTTTCAATGGTGGTGTCGGTACCAATGCTCTTAACAACAACAATGATGATGACACGTGGCATAAGTAATGGTATTGTCCCGGTAGAAGTGTGACAGGTATGATCATGGCCAAACGAAGATAGCAATGGAAACTTTGGTGGTCATATCAATGGCTACAATAGTTGTGTTTCTACTATAGTTAACAATCCTTTTCTTCACGGTCATTTGATTTTAGGACTATGACTTTGAAATAACACCTACTTTCAAAGAACTTCAAATGTGTGATTCAGAACTTTAAAGTCCCCCTAATAATTCTAAGAATCCTCAAATCTTTAACCTCAAAAGGGATTTTAAAACTGAGGATTCTCAAATTCTATTACAGCATTAACAAGCTTCAAACTGCACTAAGAAATCACAATGTTGGACTTGCAACCAACAAAGCAAACCACGGCTTCAACAATTCATTATTTTTTTTAATTTTTTTCTCTATTCTTGGAATTTCTTGGAAAACAAACAGAAGACTAAGGTACATCGAAAAGACATGATTTCTAAATAAAACTTCAAATTTCATAGTTAAAACGAAATCAAAGAAAATGCCATGAGATTTACCAGTAAGAGATTGGAAGCAATGGAGATCGAAATTGTCAGCTTCGAGAAGCTCGATCCCTGAACATCCCATGATAGGCGATAGCTGTTGAGAGATAGCGTGCATTGAATGCCATAAACTCGCCAATCTCAAGCTATCATTCGTATCCATTCGTCCCGCAGAGCCGTAATCCTATCATTTTTCACGAATTCATAAAAACTAACGAAACTGAAATTGGTGTTCCTGTTTGTTTATATAGAAAATTATGACAAGAAAATACAAATGAGAGACAGAGAGAGAGAGACAGAGAGAGATTTGAGTTTGACCTTATAGAAGATGAGGCCTCCTGATTTGTTGATGATGTAGAAGCTGTAAACAGCTGCCATTTTTTGAATGGAGCTCAAGCCCTAGACACAGACAGGGTTGAATTGGGGATGGTGATTATAGCGAACAAAAATGCTTTAAACCACTAAGTGGGGTGATGTGACAGTGACCCACTATCACATGTATTTTGTATCTTATTTTTTATTTATTTATTTATTTATTAATTATCACTTTATTAGTGGTATTAATGATAATAAATTAATGTTCTATAACATTGTTCTTATACCAAATGTTTAAGGCTATGGCTGGAGAAGGACGACAAAAGAAAAGAATATGTGCCGCTGTAAAAAACTAAAAAATATATTATGTGAAATTCACTAAATATTAAAAAATAAATTAAGAAAATTAAACCAAATATAATATAAAATATGATATAGATAATTATATAAAAGTAATTTAAGAATAACAAAAAAATATGAGAAATTAATATTTTAAGAAGTAGATTAGAAGCCAATTTTTTTTATTTTTTTAAAAAATATGTACAAAAATATAGAACTGATGTGATTAAAAAAAGTCAATAAATTAAAAGCTACTTTTAACTTGATTATCAAAATAGGCCAAAGTGTACATAACAATGTGTTGTACATTTTATATAATAATAATAGTTAAATAGTGTGCATATTGGATAGGTAAGTTATGAAAAATTAACCACTTTCACTTAAATGTAAATAATAGAGGAGTTTTATCCATCAACAATATATATATATATATACTAGTGAAAAAAACCCACGCAAGGTACATGTTAGTATGACATTTAATTCTAATGTTTTGTTGAGTTTACTAGATAAAATGGAATAACATAACATTTTTTTGAAAATATTTATTTTATATTTGATTCATTCAAAAAATAATAAAAAAATACATTGTAAAATTATTTCATAAGAGAATAAAAAAATAATCATTTCATTCCACTACTTGAACTTTTTTTTCCAAAAATAAGATTAATTTTTTACAAAATAAAATAGAATCTATAGTTATATATATGATAGAAGTTTTAATTTTTATTATGAAGTACAATTATGGAATAAATAGATGAAATGAAATTTTAGTTCAAATGAGTAGATTTTTTTTTTTAATTTATTAGGATGAAATAATCGAATTGTGATATTATATGTCAATGATCATATGGTATCATCGTTACACTTTGATTTCATTTCATTTGTAAACAATTATTTTTAGACCCATGCAAGGCAAAGGCTATTCTTATGATAAATTTATATTTTCAAAATACAAATCTTATAACAAATTATTTTTTTTGGTTTGATTTTTCAAAAATTATTTTTAGACGAATTTTCATTTGTTTTAATAAATTTTTTCATATTTTATTCAAATCATTTTTTTTACAATTTTTTTTTCCGTTTATTTTGTTAAATTAAAAATTATAATAAGGAATGGTTGTAATTTCTAGTATTGTAGAGACATTTCATATTTTAAACAAACCTTAGGGGTGTATTTATAATTTATCCAAAATCAAAATATTTATGTGTCGTAACTGATCAAGAATCTTTGCATTATTACGAAAAACCCTTTACTCAAATTAGTACCGTTAATATTGGCAAATATTACCTAAGAAAAGGGTAAAATGGGAAAGTCAAATTATAGGTTACCATTAGTGAAGGGAGCTTCTATTTGCATACATCCCTTTCCCTCTTTCCACATCTCTCTCAATACACACACTACATAAATTTAAATTATCAACTTACACTCAATACACATCCTACCATACCAAAAATATCCTTACCATCTTCATCCTTCAAACCTTAACCCTAACAAGCCACCACCGTTGTTGCCACCGGCAATGGCAGTACCTATTCCCCTCCCTCCTCTAGTCTCTACTCATTAATATTAAGCTTTGCCTTCTCTCTTTCTCTGTGTTCGTTGCTTTTACATCTATCATTGAATTCTTATATATATATATATACGAATCAATCGTTTTTGGATTCGATCTTCATAATCTAGAGCTACTTTCCATGAATTCTCTCTCTCATCTCTTCCCTCAGCACCGCTACCCCCTCCACTTGAGAAGATGATCGACGGTCCCTCCATCGTTTGTTAAACCGGTGTCGAAAATAACACATCGATTCCTCTATTAACATCCAAACAAAACACATTGGTTTTTCCTTCAACATCTGAACACATCAGTTCAACATTGTACTTCTGAATCAATGTCTTTGGTTCAAAACTATACTTCCGAACCCTACAGTCGCAAAGGGGGTGAAAAGTGGAGGCAGTGAGGAGAGACGAAGGCAAAGGAAGATCGTGGTAGTGGGCAATGAAGGCGGAGGGAGATCGCAGTGCCGCGCTGATCTTCTTCTCAAGCAAAGTGGGTTCGTAGTGGTGGGGAAGAGGCAACGGAAAGAGTAGAGAAAGGGAGAGGCGGCGACCATGGAGGATGATGGTGGAAACTGATGGTTTGAGAGAGTTAAAGTTAGGGTTTGGGGAAAGAAATATTTTGGTAATTTAATTTTAAGATAAAAATGTAATTAAAAAAATCATTAAGTGTGTGGAAAGAGAGAAAGTGGTGTATGCAAATAGAAGCTCCCCATTAGTAAATTATACAAAATCAAAGGGCAAAATAGGAAAAAAAATCTCAGGGGTGTATTTGTAATTTATCCAAAATTAAAATATTTATATTTCACAACTGACCAAGAATCTTCACATAATTATGAAAAAATTTCATCTAAAATTAGTACAACCAATATTGGTAAATAATACAAAATACAAAGGTAAAATGGAAAAACTAAAATGCAAGCCTCTAATAGTAAATAATTCCAAACCAAAGGGCAAAATTGGAAAAAAGAAAGAAAGTACGAGAGCGCTTCTTATATACCGACTAGTTTACACAGACTTGTGCATGACACGGGCTATTATTATAGTATGTTTAAATTTTGTATTTTAATAATTTTTTAAAAATTAAAATATTGTTATATAAAATTCAATAGAATAAATCATTACATATATAATAGAATTATGTGGTATGATATGTATATTTTTTGATTTGTTATACACCTAATGATGTCGACTCCAATTCTATTATTATATCATTTTAGATGAATTTACGAGTTTTTAACATTTTTTTTGAATTTATAAAAAAAAAATTATGGTGTGTAACTTTTCTCAACAGATAAATATAAAACGAATATTATAATTCTCATATCTAAAAAAAAAATATATTAAGATAAGTCACTAAACTAATAAAAAGGCAGAAATATATATATATATATATATATAAATGACTAATTTTATTAATAAATAAATCATACTCACATAACAAATGATCAATTTTATTAATAAATAAATCATTAAGTAAATTAACAATTTTTAAATATTTTTCAATTAACCCTTTTGTTAATAAATAAATCATTAAGTCAATTAATAATTTTTAATGATATGAAAAATATTTTTCAATAAACCATTTTGATAATTTATTATGGCATAGGAGATTTTTTTTTTCCTTGAGTATTGTGCTTAATTAAAATTTATAACAAACGCTAGTTGTAATTTCTAGTATTATAGGACCAATTCATATTTTAAACAAATTTTATGAGTGTATTTGTAATTTGTCTAAAAGTAAAATATTTATGTTTCATAATTGACTAAGAATGTTTGAATAATTACGAAAAAATATATTTCATAATTGGCCAAGAATGTTTGCATAATTACGGAAAAACTTGTTGAATAATTGACCAAGAATGCTTGCGTAATTACGAAAAAAACCTTCACTCAACATATAAGCCACCGTTAATAAATTATTCAAATAAAATGGTAAAATCGAAAAGAAAAAACGAATCTCAAGTAGGTAGGCGCCTCTTATATATATAGATATAACGAGATGGAGGAAAAAAATACTAACAAATTTTTAAATTTAAAACTTGGGCAATAACATAAAGATAATATACGGATGAAAATAAATTATGACAAAAAATGTTTATTCTAAGTCACCAGAACATTTTTATATAACAGTATGCACATTTGGTGGTCTTTGAAAAAAAATATTGGTATGCACTTTTGATGAATGTGTAATCAAAATCAACCAATTGAACATAAAAATAAAAATTAAAAATTAAAAAGTTATCAAAATTTAAAGATCAAAGTCTAATGTAGTTATATATATATATATATATATAGACTTGGTGTCTGGATCAATACCTTAGAAATGGGCAAATTACAAACACTCCCCTCGAGATTTGATGAAAATACAGATTCCTCCCTGAGGTTTGAGAAATTACATCCCGCCCCCTGAGGTTTATATTTCCATAACAAATTGCCCCTTGAGGTTTTTATTTTCATACAGATTCCCCCCCTAATTTGTTATGCAAATTTGACCTTCAGGGGGCAATTTGTAATTTCTCAAACCTCGGGGGGAAATCTGTATTTTCACCAAACCTCGAGGGGGGTGTTTGTAATTTGCCCCTTAGAAATCAATGTGTGTCACGACCCGCTCCCCGTACTCAAGGATTAAGTATCGTGATGGCCAGTAACTGAAGTTACCTCTAGGTAATTCTTGAACAAATTACTAAATGCTAGCGGAAAAAAATATTTAAGTGAGGGTACCAAAATAATCGTTGGAGCTTCTACTTTTATAACAAAATTTATTGACCAAAAAGTTGATATTTACATAGGAAGCATAGGATTATAAGTACTATAAAGTGTTGTGTGTGTCTATTCTACATCCTCGCTTCTAAGGCTCTCCAAAAGCTATTTCTGAATTGCATTATTTCCTAATAATTGGCAAACAGCTATAAGCACATGGTAAAGTGAGAAATATTATACTAAGAGCATGAGGGCATAAAATTCACCATGGATAATTATTGGCTAAACAAAGCTTGATATTAAAATACAAAGTATATAATACGGAAATCATATAAACAAAATAAGCATAACCACGGTACAGAACCGAACAAAATAGATGTATAGATTCAAAAGGTGGCTCATACGAACTTTAGAGGTGTTCCCCACAATAGTGTAACACTTAGCTCCATACAGCACTTTGCTCCACACCAAAAATTAGAAGGTCAATGGATTCATGACAGACAGAGAGTCACAACGTGACTAATTAGAGGGCCAATGGTTATTTAAGTCCTCTAGGGCATGGGACCTCCG